TTGTGTAAGAAATTAGAAAATATCTGATTTTTTCATATTTGAGCTCGGATTCGGTTATTTTTAGAATTTTTACCAAAATACTCAAATTTTTTTTTAAAAATATTCATAATCACTGTTGAAACTGGATTTATTACCCAAATCCGGCCCAAAAACATATATACTTATGTTTGTAAAAACAAAAATTCAAATAGGTTTAGCAACAGATGTTGAGATGAAAATTTGTCAAAAAATAACTTTCACTATATCAGCTCCACAAGAATAAGTCAAAGATCTTCTTTGACTAAGTCACTCAGCCCCACGAGAATCAGTCAAAGAAGATCATTGACTAAGTCAACTCCGCCGAATTTTTGGGTAACCACTTACGGATGTATACGAGATTCCCAGAGCTGTCCCGAGATACGCAGAGCCAGCTCCACCCAATTGAACCCAGCTCCCCTCGAGATATGTGAAACCGTTCCAAGATATGTAGAGCTAACTGACATGATGAGAAGTGTATATGTAGGAAGACTCATCAAGAGGCAAAAGGGGAGCTATTTACTAACTTTTCATACGCACGAGAACTTTACACTACATTTTTAGCTTGCAACACATCTCATTCGAGATCTCACTGTATATTCGATTATTATTAATATAAATCAAGTTCGTCGAAACACTTCTCATTGTTTATCAGATTTAGAGATATTTCTTAAGACTATTGTTTCTTCTCCGAATTCACCTATAAATTCTTAGTGCGGAATTCGGTTTTCATAATTAAATTTCTTATATTTATAGCTTCTGGATCACTATGACGGGCAAAATGAGCACGCATGAAAGAGACGTTCCAAGAGAAAGACTCCATGAATGAAACTTCTCTTTATTTGGATACACTTTCTCCAGTTTAAACTTAATTGTGTGGTTTTTTGGTAAAACATATTCGAAACTAGTTTTTTCTGTTTAAACTTAATTGTGTGGATTTTTGGCAAAACATATTCTGTTTAAACTTATTTGTGTGATTTTTTGGCAAAACATATATAATTGGAATTAGTTTCTTCTGTTTAAAACTTCAAAGTAAACTTAAAGTGTATCTTCATCATACTCTCATTTTTTTGTAATCTGCCGTCTCTCTTCTATATGTTTTCCCAGTTTTAGACATTTGGGTGTACTTTAAAACTAATACTGTATTGACCAAGATAATAATAATCAACGAAATAGCTAAAAGAAAATAGACATCACAAGATAAAATTTAGTTCGTAGCAACACAAGAACTCCCAACAATTCTTACAATCAGCTAATTATTCCCTAGCAACAACACAAGAACTCCCATAAGAAACACAGTCACATTTAGG